TTGCTAGGCTCTTGGGAGCTGTCACCACCCACTGGGAACTTGTCTTTTTCAATAGATAATCAGCCAATCACCTTTTCTTTGATTTGTTTCAGCTGTATCTTTATAGCCAGAGATAGCTTTTGCTATTCTAATTTTGTGCTTAGAAATTTTGTATATTGGAAGACACCACACATTGGAATGTGACTGTGACTGTATCAGAATTGCAGCTCTGCATGTAAGTATTACAATGTAAATATTTGCAGGCTGCACATTGCTTTAATTGTTTACTTAGCGTTTTCTAATGCATCTCAAATCTAAAAAGAGCTGTCTCTGGGGAGATTTCCTAACACAGGTATCCTTAGACCTGTGGTGGCATTGACATTGCCAGTAGCCTAACCCTGTGCTTAGATTTGAGTGGGGCAGAATAGATCTGCTGTAGTAATTCGGCCTGTTTTGTTGGTGTATAAAGACCTGTCCGGCGGTATTTCTGCCGACTACCCAGGCTGTCTCCCAGTCCTGTTGTGTATCAAGTGACTACATGGATGTGGGGCTAGTACATTTTTTCCATATTATTAATTTTTTATCACATCCAGCAAGACTGAATTTATTCTGGACATTTCTTCTGGGATAGGCATTCCATTTGTGAAAATTTCTGGGCTTGTCATGGCATTATGGTGGGAATGATACCAGTTTTGATAATTGTGAGATAACCCTGCTTTTGCATGGGACGCATTGGAGGGAAGGAGAGGTCCCATCACCACTCGTAGGACTTTCATAAGTTCTGGTGGGTTCAAAACCAGCCCACCCAACTGGCATCAAGTCGATGTCCACTCATAGTGACCATAGAGCAGCAGGGTAGACTGCCCATGGGAGTTTCTGAGACAGCAGCTCTGTGGGAGTCGGAAGCACGCTCCTTCTCCAGGGGAACAGCTGGCGGTTTTCAACTGCTGACTTGTGGATTACAGCCCAACAAGTAAGCACTACACCACTACCAGGGCTGTTAGGAGGTTAGCATATTAGGAAGAGTGCTGTAGTTGACTTTTTCCACTGCCATTGTTACCGTGTGATCAATACATTCCTACAACGTTTTGTATATTTCAAGTCATATTAATCATTCCCAAGTAAAGTACAGTGATGCCTTGGTTGTGGAACTCAATTAGTTCCAAATTCTTGTTTGAATACTGAAAAGTTTGAAAACCCAACATATTTCCCATAAGAAATGGAAAGAGCTATAAGAGCTCTCAATAAAAAGTTTTAAAAATCATGAAAAACCAAATAATTGGTTCTGAGGCCGCAAAATTACCCTTATAAATTCATTTTTTCCAGGACTGTGGAGACTTCTTGCATATCACTGTCTAGGATATGCTACTGCCATCGAGTTGTTTCTGATTTATTGAAATTAATAGTAACTTTTCAACCTTTTTCCTGGTCTGAGTTTTTTGTTTCGTGGTTAGCCAGTTCACACCTTTTGCTACATGAAGCTCTTTAGTCACTTTTCCCCCTTCCCAAAATGTCAACAATGTCTACTTAGCCATGTTGTAGTCAGCCGCCAAATCAGACAAACGGTGACCTGATTACAATTTCACAATGATTTCGTTCTTTAACTGTTCTCACAGTTTTCCGCTCACCTTTGCAGCTGCTATCACTAACTTTCTTTGGAGCCATGGTTACAATATTTTACGCACATTTAAAAACAAATTGAAGAATGCTTTAACACACTAACACAAGCACTATGTGTTATCTGAGGGAGAGCGGCGCTTAAACTGAAACGTCACTCCTTTTGTGTCCGAGGCGAGATACACCGTGTGACTTACTCTCGGCCTGTACAGGGTTTTCAAACTGGATTTTCAGTTCGACTGCTGAGCAAAGTTAACCAGCATCAAGCAGTTTTGTTTTATTTTGGACTTAACTGTTCAAGTAGTGGAAAGTTGGATCTTGGAGCCGTTCGATAACCGAGGTATCACTTTATAGTTATTTACAGCCATCTTGTGTCAGTGTGGTGAGTTTTTTCGTAATGTGAACCATACATTGTGAACTGTTGACATTTGAAAAGGAAGTTATAAAACAAATGCAAATGTATAGTGGACTAAACCGAGTATTTCCTCACAGGGGAACATGGTGTAAAAGAGTAATGAGGTTTTTTTTTTAGAGCTTTATTACCAAAGAGTTTGCATAGGTGATTTTGAAGCTGAATTATAAAGGAACAACAAAGGTAGGTGGGAGAGGTTAGTAGAGCCTTTGAAAGGGATCCTCACGAGGGTAAGTCAAAGTCATTACTATGAAATCGTGGACACGCGTATGAAACAACATAATAGAGCGTGCAGCTAAGTTTCTCCACACAGCCTCCACCTGGTCTTTTGCCTCCTCCTGACTGACACCAGTGGCTCCATCTCTCAGCCTTTTCATCAAGAATTCTGCACTCTTCACATTTTGTCACGGTGAAATGGCAGTTTGGCCGTCTTTGAGGTTCTCAAATCATGTTCCTTTTCAGTGTTATTTGAGTTTTGGGACAGAATGAAGCAAGGTCAGGGTGGTAGAGGGGTGTCCTCAGGAGAGCCCTTAAAGAGTGAGTATAGGGGCACTGTCACGGTGACAAAGTTCCTTGACACACTTTCCTGGTTTCCCTTTCACCAATGCAGTTTTTCATTTTCTGAAAACAACTCCTTTAGTGCCCTTGATGGTTCTGTGTCTTTTGAGACAATCTTATCAATGTAAATGGCCCCTTTGGTGTCTCAGAAAACAAAGCTGACCTCTCTGCCTTGAATTTAGCAGGACCAACAACACCTCTTGGAAGTCACTGCTTTAAAAAAACATTTCTCTGAAGGCACCCTAATGGGACTAACTTGTCTGCAGCCACTCGGAGATCTTGTAAACTCGTTTAGAATAAACGGCTGCATGTGTGAACTTGAACCCATGTAGCAATACTTTTTGACTTACCTGTGTGTTAGCAGCTGCTTTTGCCTTGGTTCCACTGAAAACTTGAGCACTTCTGGTTTCTACCCACACTGGACTAGACTGGAAATGGGCTCGGAGGTCTTTATGCAGAATTCCCATGGCTGTGTTCTCAGTACTGAGTACTCTGTAGTTAGATAAGAAAGAGGGAAGGGGGCAGAGAAGGTGTACCCTCATTCTGCAGGTTGAGTGTTTGAGGGAACCGGAAGTACTCCCTTCTACCTTCAGAGGGAAGGGACCTGCACTGCCCCAAGCCAGTTGTGAGCATGGAGCCTCTGCTTAGGCTCCCCCAAATCCAACGGTACTATGCAAGATCACCTATGCATAAATGTTAAAAGATTGCTTGCCATACATTTTATGTAGTAAAGGATTCAACGTGCCTTATGTATGTGAAATATTGCCAACTCTCAGGCTCCTAGAAAACCACCATACTAGACACCGGTCACTTGCCTCAGTCTTCACATCTGTTCACATAGTGTGGTCTTCACGGCTCTCACACACGGAGCATTCATCCAAGGAACGGGTAAGCTAAAGCACATGTGTGTGTGGGTGTGCAATTGCACAGACATCTCCGAAGATTGATCAGGTTTCTTGTGTGGGTGGGAGGTCACCTGGGCTGGGAGGATCTAGGAAAGAGGGCTGTCTGGGGCTGTCTGCACCATGTGGTTTTAAGAGTCGCGCCTCAATTCCAACTCTAGGTCAGTTTCTCAGAAGACAGGCTCAGAAATTACCTCAGTGGAGCTGCCAGTGAGCTTTGTTCCTCTTCAGGTGGCCCTGCCAGACTTCTTGAGTACCAGGGGAGGAGGAGCTTGCATTCTGGCGCGGACCCCCTGACAGCCCCAAGTACAGGGTCTTCGGGGAAGGGCTGGGTAGGAGCAGGCTGGAGGGGAAGTGCTAGCTTGAAGGTAGTTGCTGGGTAAAAAATAGCAACAAATTTTTTGTTGTTGCTTTTCAGATAAAAAACACTTGGGCTGCTAAGTTCTCTCTCTTTTCTAGGGTTATGGTTAGGGTTGGCGTTACAGTTAGGGTTAGAGTTAGGGGTAGACTTAGGGTTACACTTAGGGTTAGGGTTAGATTAGGGTTAAGTTTAGTGTTAGGATTAATGTTACGTTAGAGTTCAGGCCGCTAAGTTCTCAATCAGGTTTCTAATTCTAAGAAGGTAACATGTCATTCTCAAAGCATCTGGTTCATTCTTGTCAGGTTAGTGAGGTGTGGCCTCTCAATTTGTGCTTGTCTCAGGATGCACGCGTCTCTGCCCCATTGCTCACGTTCTTGTTTTTTCGCTGCTTTTTTTACTTGTTAGGGGGCCTTTGAGTCTGTTCCAACTTACAGTGAGCTGGTGTACAAAACACTAACAGGTCCTGTGCCATGTGTGAGCCCATTGTTAACTGCCATTTTGTTGATTATTGTTTCGACTGTCTTCCCCTTTTACTCTGCCCCTCTACCAAACCAGTCCTTCTCCAGGGACTGTCCAAACAACATGACTGTGTCTACACATTTTAAAATCTGGGCTAAGAAGACTAAACAATTATATAGGAAATGAAATTTTTACCCCGCTTTGCTGTTCTACAGGAACCCTTTGCCAAAGGGAGATACAGTCTTGTCTATTGCTCCCAGACCTCTCTGTCTTCATGAGTTGTGTTTGCAGATATCATTCCATCCCAGAATGCTCCATCCCTTTCTCTGATCTCAGCCCTTTTTCCTTCAAAGTGTGCCCTCTCCTTAATGCTTTAAGCCTTTCCAACCTCCTCTTTCCAATGCTCCTACCCAGCCCTTCCCCGAAGACCCTGTACTTGGGGTTGTCAGGGGGTCCGCACCAGAATGCAAGCTCCTCCTCCCCTGGTACTCAAGAAGTCTGGCAGGGCCACCTGAAGAGGAACAAAGCTCACTGGCAGCTCCACTGAGGTAATTTCTGAGCCTGTCTTCTGAGAAACTGACCTAGAGTTGGAATTGAGGCGCGACTCTTAAAACCACATGGTGCAGACAGCCCCAGACAGCCCTCTTTCCTAGATCCTCCCAGCCCAGGTGACCTCCCACCCTTCCCTCCCACCCCCACAAGAATGGTCATGTTGACCATTCCCGTCTTAGAAGTCTTGAGGCAGCACCCACCAAAAGCACCCATTGGACACCTGGGCCTGGCTGCTTGTATTCTCTATCATGCCACTTACCTGGGGGGGTGGTCAATGGAATTTTCTCACCAACTTTATGAAGTTTATGTATCTATTTTTCTCTAGCCAACATCATGGGCTTCTTGAAAGTAGAGCATTTCTTTCCTTGAATCTTTGCCCCACCCAGAAGGCATGTTGGGGGGGGAGATGTTCAAGGAGAGGTGGGGTTTTGCGATTTTGACCTAACCCTTTGATAACAGGGCTTTTTTCTTCCTGCTTTAGGCCCTATCCCTAGGCCCTTAATATATGTCTAGAAATGCCAACAGTACATCAACTTTATAAAATAATCCCTTGAATTAAGCCAGTATGGTTCCTGATTGTTCCCCATTTGTAGTCTTTATAAAAAAAATTTTAATGGTGTTATTTTACTGAGTTTCCTAGGCAAAACATAGCTTGGGCTAGATATTTTGGGCTGAACCTGATGTGATTGGTGATTTTATTTTAAAATTTTCTGTTTAATGGATTATATTTCCATGACATAAACCCTAATCGATCTGTTAAATACCTGCATGGGAATGTAGCTAAGTTATTTTTTAATGTTTATCCTTAAAGTTCCTTTAAAACGTTTCATCTATAAGCAGACATTCAGTTGCTAGTCCCTCTCAAGAGTATTTCTGTGTCTTGTTTATTAAGGTTTATTTATTTGTGTTCTAGACTTCTCTGTAATAGCACTACCTTGTATTTGGTGCTGTGTTTATTTTTTTTAACTAGTTATAAAATATTTATAAAGCCAGCCTCCATTGTATGCTGTGAGGATTTAAAAAATTTTTTCTTCATTTATAGAAGATTCTTTTTTATTAAAGTTCACCAGGAATGCTACAAGCTATGTTCATATTTGTAGTTTTTCAAACTTACCTGCTTAACTTGTCTTCACGAAGCCCTGACGGTGCAGTGGGCTACTAACCACACGGTCAGCAGTTAGAACTGCAAGAGAAAGATGAGGCTGTCTGCTCCCAGAAATAGTGACAGCTTAGAAATCCCATGGAGCAGTTCTACTCTGTTCGCTAAGGTCACGATGATTCACAATTGACTTGGTGGCAGTGAGTTAACTATAAGTTCGGGGCACATACGTGTGCATTAAATTTAATGCTGTGATTTCTTAAGGAAAAGCAGTCACGCGACATGTTTGATTAGTAAAATGTCTTGACTTATTTAATTCTTTTTATGGTAAAGCCTGACTCGCCATGGAATCTCCTTGGGCCATTATTTTGGAATGGGACTCTTGTATTTCCCAAGTGCTGAGGTCTCAGTGGGTGGGTGGTTGTGTTTTGTCTTTCTGCCTACTTTCCAAATTTGCACGATCTTTCCTTTCATTAGCATCCCTAAGTTTCAGATTGGACGTTGAGTTGTCTTAGCTGCCAGGAAGCAAGAAGCCGCTAGTCGCTGGTCTGGTGGGAGCACGTCGTCACATAGCACCATCCTAACGTGAGCTGAAGGCCTTTGTCCAAAGGCTTGATGATGAAACACATACTTTAAACAGTCACATTTGCAATCCCAGCCGGCACAAGGACCAATTCTCCAGAGCCTTGAACCTTTTTTTTAAACCAATTGTCAGTCATAATCTTCTTTGGTCACTGCTTGTATTAAATAAAACCACCCTGATCTTGTTCACTTTGTTTTCATATCCCAGAATCTTTATGGTCAACCTGTCCTCGATGCTGTGTTGACATTGCTGGCAGAGTTGACTGTACAAATCGACTCGTTTTCATTTATAATGCAAGGTTCAGTGTATCTCTGCCTGCCTACTTCAGCCTGTGAGGGGGTGTGCGTTCGGGAAGGCCCCTGCTCGCCGAGCCGTGAGTTACCCCTAATTTTTCAGATACATTACTGAATGCGAACAGAACAGAAGTGGTGAGGAAGAGAAAGGACCTGATAGCAACATTCATCATAGAAGCAGGCGTGCACACTGAAAGGGCAATTCCCAACATTGTTGTCAGATGCAGCCTACTTGAACCAGGGACTAGCCTCCAGAAAACCCCTTGTTGAACTGAAGCTGTGATGTGAGCTGTTCACCGTTGGTGAAATATTAAATCTACCCTGGTGGTAGATGAAAATGTTCAGAAGTCATTGTAAGCAAGTTAAAACAATTGGAGCAAAAGTTTGTTCCACTTAAAAAATGACCATATCTAGTTCATTAAAAAAAAATCACATGAAAAGAGAAAGTTTTGCTTCTTGTACTGTTCACACTTGAAAATATAAATGTTAATGGAAGTCAGTGACTCACTTCCTTGATGCCAGTGTTTAGTGAGCTCCAGGCATCCTGCAACCTACAGAGGTGATTGTAGTTGTGGTTTGCTACCCACCATTGTTCTTGCTTCAGTGACTCACTAGTAGGTTTTCATCCATCAAGGATCTTAACATTTGAGCTAAAACACATTTCTTAGGACTTATCATTCTCCATAGTAAGAAGAACCATTCCGAGGATTTTTTCAATTGGTTTTACAAAAAAATTCCAAAATTAGTTTCTCCTAATGTCAACATTTTGTTTATTAAAGCTAGTTACTTTTCTCATTCTTAGCTACCATCTTAGATGAGCATTAGGGATTTGGGGATTTCAGATATACTGTGTTCTATGCAGATAATGGCAGTGGGGCGGTAGGCCTGTGCCGCAGTGTGGAACACAGTGTGACTCCCTCCTTCCAGGTTTGTAAGCCATCTCCCCTCCCTAACCCCTTCCTGCAGCACCAAGAACAGGATAGGGGATGGAGTGGAACTCGGGCTCAGTGGACGGCTGCAAGCAAAGTGTGTATCAAACCTTGGCCAACTTGGGTTTTTTTTACATTTTTCAATGACTGTCAGAAATGACCAACACTGAATCCCAATGGTTAGAAACTCCTTTGGGTCTTCTGCAGTTCCCCCCAGCTCTCAGAGACTCATTTACTCATCCACAGTACGAAGGAGTTGGACTCAGTAATCTTTACGGTCCATTCCTGCTCTCCAAGTCTATGCCTTTCTGAAATACTCTGTTTACCAGAATGTATTGCTTTCCCACTTGGACTTTCTGAGTTAACACCTGCAGTACACATACTGCAACAGCATGCTGTCTGAAGTAGTTTTTCTAGAGGATGTCACCTGGAAAACTAGCCCCCTCGAGTGGCTGTCTTAGTTTGTGTGCCTGTAGAGCCACACACAGGAGTCTGAAGAAAGAATGGTTTCCAGTTGTCTAATCTGGGATACTATCAACTTCTCTATGTTACAGGAGATACGACTCGTCAGCGCATCAAATTCAGCGATGACAGAGTTTGCAAGAGTCACCTTCTCAACTGTTGTCCCCACGATGTCCTCTCGGGAACCGTACGTATTAATTCAGTGTCAAATTTGATTCCTGGCACACTGCTGAAGTGAACTACTGACTATAATCAATTCCTTATGAAATTATTACACAGCGATTTAAAAAAATTTTTAAACATGGTAGAGGTGCTTGTATCGTAATTTTTGTTTACTCAGGTTGGTGACTTTAATTTACAATAATGGGTTTCTTCACAGAATGAGTTGCTTTGTAGAGCTGTATAATCTCTTTTCAAGTTTTCACAAACATTGTATTTTCAATGTACAGTTATTGATTGCACTTTGAGTTCAGAAATTGTATAATTTATTTTTAAAGTACTTCCTTTTGTCTTGGGCAAAGTAGACTTTAATTCAAAGTAATAGACACTATTATGACTTGTGCACCTTTATACATTAGAATCATAGTGGGGACAGTATGTTAGTAAATACTTAAATTCATGCAAGCTTAGTTTCCAAGGAGTGTTAATTAGCATGCATTCATATTCTGACTCCCAATAACGCAGAGCTTTTCTCAGATTGCATGTCTAAGAGACATTGGTTGGGTCTTGAGGATCATCATTTGAATTTGTGAGAGAAACTGCGTTGTGGTGAACAGGATTCTTTCCCTGATTCAGGGCTTTGGTTGAAATGACCTCTCGCTACAAGTAGCTTCCCTTCAGCAGGCTGGTCTGGGCCCAGGCGCCGGGTTAGTCCTGCTGGTCAGAAAAGACTGAAATGCACAGGTTTCCCTTTTCAGAATTGGTGATTCGGCTTAAGCTGCCTAAATGTGTAGCAGAGGGCTTCCTTTGGTGGGAAGAAGAATGCACCCCCACCGTAGAGGAATCAGGGCAACTACAAGAGGATACCCCTTCCTTTTCCAGTAGGATTGAAACTACACTTTTTTAAAAAGAGCCCCATTTTTGTTTTTTCCCCAGCACAATATCACAAGGCAAGAAATCCAGTTCTGAGCACTTGAATGATGGCTCTGACGACTATCAGCAGAAAATAAAGTTTCTTTCTTTTTTTTTAAATCATTGGGGGCTCATACAACTCATCACAATCCATACATACATCAATTGTGTAAAGCACATTTGTACATTCGTTAACCTCATCATTCTCAAAAATTTGTTCTCCACAGAAAATAAACTTTCATAGCTGCTCTTGCAGAGTTTCCGTAATTACTTTCTGCTGTGCTGCAATGCATGTGACATCTGTGAAATCTTTACCGTCTGTAGTCTGTGTCGTGAGGCTCTGGGTTCTCAATTGTATCCATTCTAATAGTTTGTCATTTTATCTAATTTCTAATTTCAGATAATTTTAGAAACATAAATAGGATATTGATGAACGAATAAGATGGCAGGATTTAGTCCATTAAAATTTTTTTTTTCACGTTAATTTTTTTAATACTGCACCACCCAACCATTAAGAGGAGACTGATGATTTCTTATTTTGGTCAAGCGCTGATGTTACTCAGACTTGGCAGGAATAGTGGAAGCAGGCATTGCACACAGTTCTCCACACAGTTCTGTGAGACCTGTTTTCCACAGGGTACAGATGTTAAATTAGCTCTAATGATATTACATGGTTTATTCAGAACCATACAGTTTTGGTGAGTTTAAGTAAAACCGGGACCAAACTCCAATTTTCTGATCTTTCATCTTTGCCCAGTGCTTTAACTCTGCAGAGATTATTGAGTTCTTGTTAGATGGAAAGGGTAAGTGGTTGGTCTTGGACTTTTCTTTCTTGTAAAGTTCTTGCTGATGAAATGTAGAATATACTGTGCATCTTATAATTGGTTTTAGCAAAACTTCAATCACATTTGGTAGCATTTTCCTGAATGGTTCAGGAAAAAAACGGATGAAGTTTAAAATTGGTGGTGCCTTTGAGTTGGTGACAAATTGTTAGGCACTCTTGTAGGAGACTGGTGAAATGTCTCCCTTTGGTCACCTGGTGAGACAAGGCCTTGTCACAGTGAGAGGTGGGCTCCAGGTGTTCTGGCCTCTTGGTGAGGTTAAGCAGCAGTCCGAGGGCTGATTGCAGGATTGAGTGGGACCCCAAGATCGTCCTCGCCTGGTGCCCTGGAGAACTTGAAAAAACTTCTGTGATGACCCTTAAAAGTGTCAAGAACAGCTAGTAGTAAGGCCATGGCTTCTTTATTTACACAAATGCCTGCTGAAGCAGTGCTTTCCTCAGCCAGCGTCTCTTCCCCGTCCTTGCCTTTGGGTTCATGAGGCCTGCTTCCTTCTCCTTGTTACACAGAGAAAGGAAAGACTCAACTGACTGTAGCTGGTGGGTTTCCAGTGCTTTCTCTTGGTTGTTTAGAGGCCGGACTTCCTCTGTCCCCCTGACCTAGTTCCTTAGCTCTCTCACTTTCAGCAGAATAAGACTCAAACAATATTTCAGATTATTTAACAAAATATATTCCATGACTTTTATCTCCAAGGGCTGCCAGGCATTTGGAGATGGAGAATGTGTTCTAAAAATGTGCTCATAATTAGCAATTAGTATGATACTTTGTGTAGTTCAGTTTGATGAAGATGTCCCTATAACATTTTAGCCTTTCTTAGCTTGATAAAACCCAATTCTTGAACTAATAAATTAATCAGAGGCAGTAAAATGTAGTACAGAGAACCCAAATAATTGCTTGCAACCATAGCTGATGGTTTTTATAAGAAACCTGAGTATTGCTTACTAGCTTAGGAAGTGACTATTCATTAGAGGCCTGGGTTCTTTTCCAATCATCTGGAATGCTGTCTTACATAATAGCTCCACTTTAAAAAAATGTTTTATTTTATTTATTTATTTTTAATAGCTCCACTTTTGATCCACTTTGGCACACTGGTTTCTTCCGGATGGACACACCATGCAGCTGGGGGAGGTGTCTCCTTTCAGATGCATGCAAAACACAAACCTATGTCGATTTTTTTTTTTCTCCCAAGAACTATTTCTGATGCATATCTTTCCCAGGAGTGGAGAAGGTATTGAAGGGCTATGAAAAAAATCTTTCAACCTACTTCCTAATGATGTGTGGGAGAAAGAGCAGTAGCTCACAGAAGGTATTTTCCTTAGTTACTTCATGCTACTATGACAGGAACACCATGTTTTTAGCAAACACCAGTTCGTTTCTCCTACTGAGGCCTCGTATCAGCTCTGGGGGGATTCCTATCTCCTCCCAGTGTCTGCTTCCTGCTTCCCTGGAGATCTCCACATGTCTTGACATCTCTGAAGGGCTTTAAAAGATTCATTGAAAAATGGAATTTAAAAGATAATGGCCTTTTACATGACCTCCTTGAAACCTCCCATTCAGTGTATTTGTTTAATCTCTGTTAACCTGACAGACCTTCCCAGCAGGGCGATACAATGCGTTTTTTCCCCCCCGGGGGGTGGGGGGCATTCATTCCTAGCAGAATTCCATCCAAGTCAGGGATGGCCACTGCAGCCCGAAGTTCAGGTCTGCTGACATGGCAGTGCACCCTTGCTCTGCCTGTCCTTAACAGAAGGACCACTCCCAGCTTCTCCCATGCTCTGACCAGTGCCTCCCTGCTGTTGGGAGAGACAATGTAGGCTAGCAGGCGTTATTTAAATACCACACAGGAATCTCAGGGTTTTGAAAGTAAAGGCTATGTTGGGGGTGGGGGGGTGTTCATTCCTTTTTGATCAGCACAGTGCTTGCTGGTGGTGAGCTTCTGGTTGGTTCCTTAGAGGCACCTCATAGATTAGGGGTGGGGAGCTAGGTCAGTTGAAATCTCTAAGATTTCAACTACAATTGTATGTATTTCAAAGGAAGGAATTGTCCATGAAATTTAGTTTTGAAAAGTGCCCCTGCTGCTTAAGGGAATTTGGGGGGGGGAAACCCAAGTCTTGAGAACTGACATGCCTTCTGTGGTCTTTGCAAACCCCTCAGGAGTTCCTTTTCTGTGCGTGTTACATGTCTGTGTGTGACTGCTGTGTGCGCATCATCTGAAATACTAAGGTCATTAGGAACAAGGCCAGGGATTTCTCAAAGTCCTTATTAAAAGATGATCTGCTGTTTTGAAAGGATTGCTTGGGAGTATTGGCTGCTCAAACATTCTGACTGGCTTGATTTTATGGGGCCCTGAGTTGGTTCTGGGTTTTATCCAAGTGTAATTTTTTACTAATCGAAACTCTCTTTATTGCTCCTCTAACTTTCTGTTAAGGCGTGGCCTAAAATCAGTTAATTGGGTACACTCAATCCTGAATGTTTGCTAGTACATACGCAAAGAGCCCGTGAACTTACGGAGAAGCAGACTAAGTGAGGAGACAGACGTAGACCTGCAGAAAGTGCCCGTCACCAGCCGCTGCCATGTAAGTGTCGTGAAGGCTGGGACTGGGTTCTTTTCCGAGCTCTAGCCCTGCACCCTCACCGTGCCTCTCCTGTGTTGACTTGACTCACCAAGCTACCCCCAAGTAGAACCCTGCACAGATCTCGTTCCCAGCAGAGGTCTAGAGAAGAATTCCTAGTGGTAGCAGTGCTGCTGGCTTTTCACAGATGAGCCACCAGAGAGCATTCTGGTTTCATTGAGCTGCTTGACAGATAGGACAGCAGCTGGTTACTCAGACAGGCACAAAGCTAGATGGAGGTCTTTCTTGGCGTGGAAATAACCTCTTTTCCAGAAACGGACTTGGGGAGCAACTTTGGTATTTAATCAGTTGCTTCATTTCCCACAGTATTGGTGTGATTTTTTTTTTCTTTCTACTTTGTACTAAATATGACAGCAAGTTTTTAGAGCTTCCCAGTTAACAAAATACCATTCCCCCTCCCATGTGACTTTAAAGTTTATAATTGTCCTTATACAATACAGATTTACTATGTGTTTTGTTTATCTCAGTGTACTCAGAACGCAGGCATTCCTTTAGCAAATGTCTCTAGAGACTTTCAAAACTAAAAACCACAGTGTAAGCACAAGGTTACTGACAACCTTGAAAACCAAGCCTCTGCGTGTTGTTTGGAGCAAACAGGCATGAGTATGCTGAGCTGCTCAGAGTGGATGGCTCAGTGTGGTGGC